AATTCTTGACAACATTAGATATATGCTAGAAACTACCACTGGAGCTCTCCTTGTGTGAGAAGGAAACATCTTCAGACATCAAGGGCCGGCCGGTAATGGACTCAGATGCTGCATCTGTGTGGTCCTTGTGAAGCTACTAACTTACTGCCAGAGAACACGGCCTGTGGCACACTCATACTACTTCACCATTTGCATGTTCTCCTTGGGATTTCTTTCTCAATATATGAAAAGATTTTGGTTAGTGTCCACTTCCATATGGCCTCCTCATCCTCTCCTCCCTACCCCAAAACTTTCACATTTATCTCTTGATTAATTTCTTCATGAAATGACCCATTCTATATTTAGAAATTATTACATATTACAAACATTTATCTGCACATATTCTTCTACAACCTTTCTCTATAATTTTATGGTATTACATTCTTCATGACCAGGAACTGACCTCACATAGGATCATAAAATCTACTGATGACTGAAGTGTTACAGATATGTACAGTAGATTTGGTCAGCATTTAATAAATTGATTAAAAGTAAAGACATTAGCTAGGAATAAATTTAATGAAACATGTGAAGGACCTATATAATGAAAACTATGGGACCCTATTAAAAGAAATCGAAGAAGATACAAAGAAATGGAAAGATATTCTGTGTTCTTAGATTGGAAGAATCAACATCGTTAAAATGACCATATTACCTAAAGCATTATACAGATTTAATGCAATCCCCATCAAAATCCCATCATCATTTTTTAAAGAAATAGAACAAAAAATCATCAGATTTGTATGGAAGCACAAAAGACCCTGAATTGCCAAAGCCATCCTGAGAAAAAAAGAATGAGGCTGGAGGCATCACTCTGCCTGACTTCAAATTATACTACAAAGCAACAGTAATCAAAATGGCATGGTATTGGCAGAAAAAAAGACACACAGACGAATGGAATAGAATTGAAAGTCCAGAAGTAAACCTATATTTATATGGGCAAATAATTTTTGACAAAAAAGCCAAAAACATACAGTGGAGAAAGGAAAGCCTCTTCAATAAATGATGCTGGGA